TATAGAGAAAATAGAATACAAAGGTAAAGAGGTATATCAACAAAAGTTGATTAAAAAGAGTTTTTTAGATTTTTATACAAAATTATATGCTAGTGAAAATATACAAGCTTCAGATATAGACAAGTACCTACAAGCAGCACATTTTCCTAGACTTTCAAATGAACAACGAAAGGAGATGAATTGTTTAATTACGTCTGAGAAAATTATTTTGGCAATTAAACAGTTAAAACTGGGTAAGGCCCCTGGTACAGATGGATTATCAGCAATTTATTATAAAATATTATTTGAAGAGATGATAGAACCATTAAAGGAACTTTTTAATAGTATTCAGAGTGGAGGAGAAGTGCCCCCGTCTTGGAGAAGGGCTTTTATATCGCTGATTCCAAAGGAGGACCAAGATCTTACCCAGCCTAAGAATTGTAGACCTATATCGCTTTTGAATACAGATTATAAGATTTTTGCTAAAATATTGGCAAATAGATTAATGCAAGTTTTGAAGCAAATGATTCATTTATAATTGGAAGATACATGAAATATAATGTAAGACAAATTGTTAATTTAATTGAGTATTTGGATAAGAACAATCAAGTCCCTGCGGCATTGATATTTTTGGATGCTTGAAAAGCTTTTGATCAGTTGAATTGGCAATTTTTATTGAAAGTTGTTGATAAAATGAATTTTGGGGATAAATTTTTATATTCTCTTAGGGCTATATATCAACGACAATCGGCACACATTATAATTTGCAATCGTGTTGAGCCTATAACGTGTTCCCATGTAATTTACCATTATACCAAGAGGTATCTCCCATCTAAATTGAATTTGTCGCTTTTTCAACTCTTCAGCCAGGAAGGCGAAATCCTTCCTTCTTCTAAGTATTTTGGATGGTATCTCCTTTAAAATTATAACATCTTGTCCTGAAATTTGAAATTTCTGCTTATAAAAAGCTTGGATAATTTCATTACGGATTGATTTTCTGGAAAAGTAGATAACAACATCTCTTGGAAGGTTTCTCTGTCTTGCAACCCATGAATTGACTCTAAAATTTTTTTCCATTTCTCTCATAATTTCTTCAGGTTGACAGGACAAAACCAAGGCCAAATCTGCTGCACTCTCTTCCTCCAAACATTCTACATGAACTGCCATCTCTCATCTCTGCATTTTTCTCTTCAAGTTTCTTTTCAAAAAGATCCTCCATCTCCATTCTAATCTGTCTTGCATTGTCCTTCAAAGCATCCTGTAAATCTTTCAATGTGAGTGAAAGCAGGTTCACCATCATCTCCACAAGGAAGGAAAGAATCTTTGAAGATAAAGTGGTTGAAGGAGCTATATTGTCATCAAGTATTACAGAATTACAAGATCAAGATCAAGTTAAGCAACAACTTATGGAAATTAAAAATGATCCAAAATCACAAAGAATGACCCGTGCAGCTCATAGACGCAAAGAAAGAGAGCAACAAAAAGTGGATGTGGTACCTATAGCACAGCAAGCTATCTCGGAGCCAGTGTGAGGAGCGAGGCCGAAGAGATCAGTAACAGCTGATTTACAAGGAGCGTTCCAGAGGCTCGCTGACATTAAAGATGGCAAGGTTCCTGACATGGAATGTTAATGGTTTGAATTCTCCACAGAAAAGAAAAAAGATATTTTATTATTTGAAGCAACATAAAAATGATGTTGTTTGTTTACAAGAAACTCACATTACAGCAAAGGATCAAAAATATCTGATTAATTCATGGTTGGGAATACATTTTATGGCACCCGCGCCTCAGAAAAGAGGCGGGGTAGTTATTTATGTTAGGAAAGAGTTTTTGCCTAAATTGATTGATTCTGATCCAGAAGGAAGATATGTTTTTATTGAAATATTATTGAATGGGAAGAAATGTCTTATTATTGGATTATATGCCCCAAATCAACAGCAGAAACAGTTTTATAAATTGGTACATCGGAAATTAAATCAAATGGATTACAAATCAGTTATTATGATGGGAGATTGGAATGGTGTTTTAGATTCAAGAAGAGATAAGAAAGGTTCCTGCAAAGCTTTTAATTCAACATTGCCTAAAACCTTTTTTGACTTGAAGGACAAATTGGAATTA